TCCCTTTGCCTTGTTTCTTGTTTGTCCTGTTCTCTAAACTCTAGGAGCAAAGACTTTATCTGGTTTCTGGGAGCAGGGACCCTATCACATTCAGCTTTCCCAGACATGACTGTTTGCTGACAATAGGAACCAGGCTTGGGCCCTTCTGAATGCCATGTTAAATAGGAGCATATCACATTTGTCCAAATCTATAGAATGTACAATACCAAAAATAAGCCCTAATGTAAACTCTGGACTCTGGGTGATAATGATGTGTCAATGTAGGTTCAATAATCATAACAAATGTGCCACTCTGGGAGTGATGTTGATAGTGGAGGAGGATGTACATGTATGGGGCCAGGGGTATATGGAAATTCTCTGTACCTTCCTCTCAATTTTACTGTGAATCTAAAAGTGCTCTAAGAAATCAAAGTCTTATAACTAAAAATAAAGTCTATTAAAAATTATCTAATAAAATATAGTGGCAAAACAATAAATGTAAATAAAAAATTTAATAAAAAAAATTTTAATCTACCATACATCCTTTCCTAATATAAAGCTATTACAAAATTTATGATATACCTAAACTACTTCTAATGGCAAAGCCAAATATCCACCATAATCTAGTTTCTAAGTCTTCATAAAGGCTAAACATATTGACCTGGGCACAGTGTCTCACATCCATAATCCCAGCACTTTGGGAGGCTGAGGCGGGAGGATCGTTTGAGCCCAGGAGTTTGAGACCAGCCTGGGCAATAGAGTGAGATCCCATCCGTACAAAAAAAATTAAAAATTTGCTGGGCATGGTGGCATGTGCCTGTAGTCTCAGCCACTTGGGAGGCTGAGGTGGGAGGATCACTTGAGCCCATGAGCTTGAAGCTGTAGTAAGTCATGATCGTACCACTGCACTCCAGTCTGGGCAATAGAGCAAGACCCTATCTCAATTGAAAAAAAAAAAAAAAAAGATTAAATATATTTTGGCTGGGTGTGTGGCTCACACCTGTAATCCCAGCACTTTGGGAGACCAAGGTAGGAAGATCACTTGAGCCAGGAGGTAGACGCTGAATGAGCCATGATCACGCCACTGCACTCCATCTTGTGCAATAGAGTTAGGCCCCAACACCCCTCCCAAAAAAGACTAAACTTTTTCTTATATCTTAGATTGGTTGTCACCTTCTCCTCTAAAGCAGCATTGGCTCTATTTGAAAAATGACCCAAATACAAATTCAAGGTATGAGGATCAGACCCCTTGTTCACCTCCTCTTACTTCTGCTTTTGGGTGGAGGATGCATTCTTCTTTAAGATGTGTTTGTGCAAAGGAAGAAAAGTATCAGATTACTCTAGCTGATCCTTTAATTCAGGAGTATCTAGAGGATTGATTCACAAAAGGGCACAACTTCAATGTTGTCTGTCATGGAAGGAAAGCACAAAATTCAAAAAGAAAGTGATGTGGTCGAATGCGGATGCACCCATTAGGACATGTCAAAATAAAGTCGGTATTAAACGCAAACCCCACCTCAGCAATGGAACGTCAATCACACTATGCACACACTTGGCACTGCACTGCTTTATTCTTTGTGATAAGGTAGTTGTGGGATGACCCAGGGTTGACTTTTGCCTTCTCACTGAGAAAAACAATAGTCTGTTGAAAGCCATTATTACCATACACATCTCCACACACCATTCGTTATAAACTCTAGCTTGACCTGGTGATTTGGAGCGATGCCTTCTCAGCCCCCAAAATGTTGGCTGCTCTTTCACATCCTTGAATCTTTGATAATCCAGTTCCCCACACTAAAGACGATATGGCCTTCTTTTCTACCTGCTGGATTCAAACATATCCTTCAAGTCTTGGTTCAGAGTGAAGGCTCTGTTCATCTTCCATCAACTCTTTCTCTCTCACCAGCAAGACTGCAGTGTTCAGTGGGCTGGACTGCGCACTGTACAACACTAAGGACAGCCATCGCCTTTTGGGCCTACCCCTGCATTCTATTTTAGCTCGGACCACATTCAATATTCACTGTTTATTTAAAGGCTGGACTCCCCTACTGTTGTGTGCATGTCTTGAAGGTAAAATTGTACCTTATTTATCTTCATTTCACCAAGTTCTAAAAAAGTGTCTGGCACAAGATGTTCAATATTTTCTTTAACAAAAAATGGTTTTTTTTTAAGTTGTTTATTAAGACTCAAATTTGAACAATTATAAATTATTAAATGCAGCACTATACATTTTCCATACAGGAACTCTTTTAATATTTACAACAGCCCTATGAAGTAAGCATTATTATTCCCATTTTATAGGTAGGAAACTTATGCCTCGAAAGATTCGGTAACTTTTCCATTGTCACCCAGCTAATAAATGACAGAAGAGTAAGCTGAACCCAAGACCAAATTCCAATGCCTATACTTGTAACTACTTAACCACATGCTACACTGTCCCCCGATGCATGTGAGGAATAATTAGTTGCTCTAATTTGAGTGACTGAAAGTACTTAAAAGTAAAAATACTAATTTTCTATAAGAACTTAGACAAGTCTCTTCCCCAACCAGCATTTAAGTTTTTCCTTTATGCCCATGCACATATGCAAATGTGTGTTTAAATGTGTGTACCCTAATGTGTTACCAACGAGAAAAAGACAGCCAGCTACCAATCAACAAGATGAGAACATTTCACACATTTATTCTACTGTGGCAGTTACCAAGCTACTAATACATACCTCCATTGTCCAAGACAGTCTCCTGCACAGAAAAATATACCTAAAAGGAATACCTGATCACTGAAACCAAAGTATAAACACAAAGAACAGCAGGAGACAGATGCATTTCAGGTGAAACAGTTTCTCAGAGAAAAACAGCTAGCCTGTGGAAGATGTCTTTAGAAGGGACTTTCAGAGCAGGAAAGGGGAGAGGAAGATCCTCCTGGGCCCCAACTCCTTTGTAAGCAGGTGGAGAGAGGTCACATGCAATCACTTCCAAAGTGATTGCCACCCCTCTTCTGTCATCGAGGTCCTGGGCAATGCTGTCACTTGGACTCTCCAAGAGCCCAGGGACCTAGGACAATGACATACAGCTTTCCCTTGCCCTCAGGAAGGTCTGAGCCTCAGGAGCTTGCAGTCATTCAGTACTGGCAACCACTCAACCAGACCACCTTCCCCACTGATCAATATGTCAGACAGCTCTCAAGACACAGATGCTGAAGTGTGGATTGCTCACAAAAGTCTCTTCTCCTGAATGTCTGTACAACTGAAAAAAGAAGGGCTTGGCTGTCATAAACAACTGCTCTGAAAGTCCCTTCTAAAGAATGATAGCATGACTTTCTTAGTGGTCAGCCCTGCTTTTGCTTAAAAGTCATTTCACAGACAGCATGAAGGCAACGAGGGCTGTGAGGAATCTTAAAAGGAACAAAACCTCTGTTTTACAGGCTCCCACAAAAAGCCTCACTGGTCATGCTCACTCTAAATGCTTTTTCTCTTTATTTGGTGGTTTTTTTTTTTTTTTTTTTTTTTAGAGGAAAAAAAAAAAAAAAGACTATAAAAAAATCATTTCTCCATTAATAGATGCTAGTTGCTACAAACAGAAACTAAAAATGGAGTTCATTGTCGCTGAGGACTTGGTTAGAGGCATAAAGACCTTTTTTCACCGTTACCTAACTTTTTCCCCCTCTCAAGATTTTTTTTTTTTTTTTTAGTTGTTTCTGTATTTTCCTCTAAAAAAAAAAAAAAAAAAAAAAACACCAAATAAAGAGAAAAAGCATTTAGAGTGGAGCATGACCAGTGAGGCTTTTTTGTGGGAGCCTGGTAAAACAGAGGTTTTGTTCCTTTTAAGATTCCTCACAAGCCCTCGTTGCCTTCATGCTGTCTGTGAAATGACTTTTAAGCAAAAGCGCAGGGCTGACCACTAAGAAAGTCATGCTATCATTCTTTAGAAGGGACTTTCAGAGCAGTTGTTTATGACAGCCAAGCCTTCTTTTTTCAGTTGTACAGACATTCAGGAGAAGAGACTTTGTGAGCAATCCACACTTCAGCATCTGTGGTCTTGAGAGCTGTCTGACATATTGATCAGTGGGGAAAGGTGGTCTGGTTGAGTGGTTGCCAGTACTGAATGACTGGCAAGCTCCTGAGGCTCAGACCTTCCTGAGGGCAAGGAAAGCTGTTATGTCATTGTGTCCTAGGTCCCTGGGCTCTTTGGAGAGTCCAAGTGACAGCATTGCCCAGGACCTCGATGACGAAGACGGGGTGGCAATCACTTTGGGAAGTGATTGCATGGTGAGCCGTCTCTCCACCCTGCTTACAAAGAGTGGGGGCCAGGAGGATCTTCTCTCCCCTTTCCTTGCTCTGAAAGTCCCTTCTAAAGACATCTTCCACAGGCTAGCTGTTTTTGTCTGAGAAACTGTTTCACCTTGAAATGCATCTGTCTCCTGCTGTTCTTTGTGTTTATACTTTTGTTTCAGTGATCAGGTATTCCTTTTAGGTATATTTTTCTGTGCAGGAGACTGTCTTGGACAATGGAGGTATGTATTAGTAGCTTGGTAACTGCCCACAGTAGGAATAAATGTGTGAAATGGTTCTCAT